AAGGAAAGGAAGGAAGGAAAGGAAGGAAGGAAAGGAAGAGGACTTCAGAAGAGTCCTCTCTTCTGAGAGGTTATGTTTGAAAGATACGTCAAAACACGTCAAAGACATGATACGTCAAAAATAGTGGGAACGTTTGAGCATTTTCATTTCATCCTGCAGCTTTTTTTCCGGCATGTATTTTAATCATTATGCTTTTCTTATAAATGGATCTCAATTTAAAACTCAGATTTGAACTTAGTACTTGTGTGTCGACAGGCAGTATATTTAACTGCGTTAAATCATGTCCATTTTGTATGATTTCTACTTTTTTGATAATTCGGCATAATCTTTAGCATAAACATATGTTTGTTTTATTAAATGTTGTATTTTGTTTTTCAATTGTTTTTAATTTCAATTGCCAGGAGAAAATTAAATCTTCTGCAAACGAAAAATTTTCTACCTGTTATGTTAGCGAAATTTAATTAATATGCAAACTTCATTTTTTAAGTAAAGGTCGGGAATTTAATTCAATTCCTTCTACTCAGAAATTTCTAACAAGCGAATTGAAAGTACCTCGCAATCTGCTAGATGAAATAAAATAACTTCATATGTGTATTTTTTTTTCTTGCGGAACAAAAAAAAGTATATTTCCTCCTACGTCATCGTTTTATCAATCTTGGACAAAAAGCCATTCTAATTTTATTTTTCAAAAAAATGTGAATTGATATCTCATTTCGATTTGTTTAGTTTTAATTATGATCGAAGATAAGATTCTTCAACAGCTCAGATTTCAAATCCTAAACCTTAAATCAATTTCAATTGATTGTGGCTAAATTTTCGTCTACATGAAATTGGTTGCTATTATTTATTTATCCCATTTTATTTATCTTGGAAATGAAAAAAGTAATCTTTTGTTTTGCTTTAATTTCAATTTAAATTCCATACAAAGTAATTTGGATAAAAATTATTGGTTTCATTCCGAAAAGATTATTTCACACATGTTATCTCTGTGATTTTAATTTCAAATATCTATAACGGTGATAGTTTTATTAATTATGTTAAATGTGTTTTCAGTTAATTCAATCATACATATTTGCAAATCAAGAAATTGGTTACATTAATATTTTTTCAAGCTAACATCTATGACTTACAACTGCTGAAATTTTAATTTATTTCATTCCCAATATTTAAAATTACTGAATGTTCATATATGATTGCAAATGTTAAAGTTACAAATATCGCGGTATAAATTTAAAAAAGCGAAAACAATATAATAAGCAGATGAAAAATTCAGCGAATCAGTTAATATGTTTAAATTTAATACTGGTATTAATAGTATTAATAGCTTGTAACCGTTCCAAATCCATATTACTATAACATAAAGTATATTTGTAGTAATTTGACCTTTTTAACACTATATACTTTTAATACACCTCGATTTGTGATCTATTTACTTTTTGATTTGTACATTCTTTCACAGACACGAAATGCTGCTTTCATCATCCATCTTGTTTATTTTTTTAATCTATAATTCAATCATCAAAATAAACTACCTATTTTTCATATTTATTATCTCTATATATTTTTCTTCAAAGTTTTTCTGCTGATATATTTATGCCTCTTGCAAAATAAATTTTACATATTTATATACATTCCCCAAAAATATCTTCGAAAAATTACAGCACGAAACTATGCATTACAAATAGCTTTAAACTTCTTCAACTTATCCATCAAAGAATAAAGCATTCTGAGCTCATCAATTGCTTTCGTATGATAATGACCTTCGTTTAAGTGTAAACTTTACTGTATTATTTTTCGTTAAATAAAGCTTCCTACAATTGTAAAAATATAGTAAAACATTTTTTGAATAAACTTTATATTATTTCGTATAAAACAAATCTGCAAAAAAACTTATAAATTTTAATGATGTATGTGTAATACTTTTTAAGATCACTTTCACATTTCATTATGATCACAGTAGTGGCCAAAAAACCACTTATTAAATATTTGAAATCATCAGCTTGAAATTTTCCCATTTCAAATTTCAGTAAAATTTCAAAATAAATTCCGATAAAAACGAAAATTTCTTTTAGTAGTAAATATAAAATAACAAAAAACAATTGTCAGTTAAAAATTGATCGATCATCCGGATTCGTATCAATAAAATACTTTGATTTGGTCAAAATAGATGCTTTTTGCAATAAAATAAAAAAAAGAAGAAAAAGGGAATTCTGTGACAATAGTTTGAGTAATGTTAATTCTTCTTTAACAAATAAACCGAAATACGTCAGCCAGGTGTGAAGTAATCAGTTGTTAGTTCAAAAAAAAAATGAAACTATCTTCGAAATACATTCAACTTTCAATATTTAAGCTATAAATCAACAAGCTTAGAGACTCGATATATCCAAGCAATCATTTATGTGTGATATGTTAAGCATGCATATTTCAAGTACATTTTTCTAAAATGTATTCTTTAGAAAAATTAACTGTTTCTCTTTTTTTGAGACTTGATGCTTTTCATCAAAAACATTTCGTGAAAAATCAACCAATCTAAGGTGCTCTCTTTTTTTTTGCCTGAGATCGGTTTTGGGATAGTGAAAGAGAATTACAACAAAAATGAGAACCAATTAAAGGAATGAGAGGGAAAACGAATGGAAAGGAAAAGAAGTGAAGAGGATGAGAAGTCGAGATAATACAGGGATGGTTTAGTCTCGATGAGGCACTTATCACCTGTTCATATGACCTCTCATTTTCACAGCCCGTTTCACATTTCAAAAATGACTGATGACGGAGAGGAAATGAAAGTTATCATTGTAAATTCATATTTATTATGCAAACGTCGCATCATTATCTTCCATATGTGCCAATTTCAATTAACTAATGCCACTAAACGATATATATGTTACATTTTTTTTTATTTACAAATCATAATTTTAATTTGAAAATTAGATGTGTTTTAGCTAAATTTTTTGTATAATTTTATTATTAATTAAAATTTTTGCTGCTTATAGATCAAAATTATTTAATATCAATTTTACAAAAATAATTCTTTAGCAAATAAATGTATCCGTTTGTAAGGTGCAATATTTTTGACAGATTATATTAATGTGTTAAAAAAAATGCCAATTACTAAATAACATTCCATAATAATTTTTGGAGAAGTTTAAAAATCAAATCATTATCAATTTACTTCTTCCTATTATTGCTACCAACTGTTATAAACTCAATAAATCTTTTCAATGTTATTAGAAAAAAAGGAATAATTAACTTAATTCCATTGAAATGTTCAATAAACTAACATTCTATTAATGATAATTAATTTCTGGAGAATTTTTTTTTTTGTCTTTCTGCTCTCATTAGCATTATTTTCACTGCCTTCAAATTGATCGTATTGTTCGATCATTCTAGTTTGTGATTTTTTGAACGATTATTTGAAAAAGAAAAAGAAATAAAATGTTACAGATGTTTAACTTTTGGATCAAATTTTCATATGAAAATAAATTGATCAAGTTTATAGTTTAATAATCATTAAATAAATTATGATTCTATTTCGATATTTTTCTTGCACAAAAAATTTGCAAAAATAAGAGATGGAATTTTTCAGACGAGGAAAATGTTTTCTATTATTTAAAAAATTTTCATTTAAACATCTTAACGCATATGAGAATGATTTCGATATTGATAAATAAATGATATAAAATTTTTCTCGTTCCATTTTATATACAATTATTAGAATTTATATACGACTACAATTATTTAAATTTATATGCAACTTACAATAACTTCAAAATCTCTTAAAAATAGGTGAAAGTGATAAGAAGAATGAGTAAAATGGAACATTCGTATTTCTACCAATATAACTTAAAACAACATATTAAATTTGGGAATTGCTTGCTTAGGAAAGTCAAAGAGAAAAAAATGCAATAGAAGAAATAAACAAACAAAAACCAGTTTCCCGAATATCTTTTGTAATAACAAAATATTTCCACTCGAAGTAATGCTTTAATCTATTTTTGTCGTCTGTTATCTTTTCTGCTCTTTAAGATTTTCAAATTTATATATGATATGTAAGAGACGATTACAGTATTGTTTATCATATCATTTTTATTTCGTTCACATTTTCAACAACACATTGAATTTATAGCTAAGTCTTATTTTTTTATAAATATAATTTAAAAAAATATTTCAAATCATTAAATTGCAATTCAGAAGATTGGCTGGCAAACTTTTGTACTATCATTTTTAAACAAAATGATCTTTTACTGATGATTGCGTGATATCAAAGGATGGATATTATTTTGCATTTCTTAACGCTTATTACATTACTCCTCAAGGTAAAATCATTTTTCATCTTTTTTTTACAAATTTATAATCACTCCTGACATATATACTTTTGTAGAAGTATTACAAAATCTCATTTAAAAGTTTTTTAAAATAAAATGAAAATTTTTCAGTGATTTAAAATTGATAATGTTGAATGATTTTTTTTAATATAGAAATTCAACAAAGATCAGTAGCAATTTTTCTATGATATTATCAAACCCTTATATATTATTATGAATGAAATAATCAAAGAATATTTTACAGCCAGTTCTAAACCAATATGTAACATTACATGATGGTTCACCATTATTTGGCCATGAAATATATGGTGAAAATGGTAAATTGGTTACTGAATTTCTCGGGATACCATTTGCTGAACCACCGGTTGGACAATTGAGGTTTCGAAAGCCAAAACCAAAACAACCATGGCGAACACCGCTTAATGCTACGAAGATGCCAAATGCTTGCATGCAGGTATCTTTTTGAGCTAATTTGATCTTAAACTTATATGATCTGACCGTAAGTGATTTTATTGATTCTAATTGCTTGCACTACAGAAATAATTCATATTGTTCAGAAGTTAATTTTAAATTAGCTACATTTATTATCAGTTTTTAAAATATTATGGAATAATAAACAAACCATAGCATTATAATTTACAACTTTTTTAAAACCTCTTCAAGTACTTCATTAATTAATTATACTATGAAGAATAATTGATTTACAATTAATTTTGCAAATTAATTTATTTTAAATTTATCATCTGTTGAAAGGCAAAATTTTGCTGATTATTTATTAAAGCAAAAAAAAATTTTATACAACAATTTCAATTTTAAAACCACAGAATATTGGCTAATTTCAGAGCTCGGATACATATTTTGGTGATTTCCAAGGAGCAACAATGTGGAACAGTAATGTGCCGGTGTCCGAAGATTGTCTTTACCTCAATTTAGTTGTACCGGGAAAAATCAATCGAAATGCTCGACTACCGGTTATGGTTTGGATATACGGTGGAGGCTTTTGGTCCGGATGCATATCATTGGATGTTTACAATCCAAAAATTATAACCAGGTAGTTTATATGATGTACTAAATAATATAAATATTATACTTCTTATATTGTTTTCGTGGAATATCTTTTCATTCCTTTTCGAGTCACCAGACTTGAAATGAAAATTTTGTATATCTGAAAGTTTATTTAAAAATATGCATCATTTCTGATTGTTTTTGATTTTGAAATATTTTTATTGCTATTTATGTTGGAATCATTCAAACATGATTTGAAAAAGGACACGGAGTTTGAAGTATATATGTTGTTTATTATTTTGTGAAATTTATTTGAATTAAAAAAAGAACCTATATAAAATATTGCATGGTGGTATAAAAATAATTAAATGAGAAATTTTTTTAGCGAAGAGAATGTGATATTTGTTGCAATGAATTATCGTGTCAGTGTGTTTGGCTTTCTGTATATGGGTCGAGAAGAAGCGCCTGGCAATATGGGTCTATGGGATCAACTTCTTGCACTGAAATGGGTTTGTACAAATTAACACAAATACATGTATATATGTACTTGTTTACTCAACTAACCAGCATACTATTTTCGACGTGCAAATAGATATAGACATTCAATAATTTAAAAAAAAATTTAGTATGAATAATATGCTATTGGTGATATTAGTTAAGATAGACGCTAATTTTTAATGAAAAGAAATAAGAGTCAGTGCAATAAGTCGCCCTTTAATTTTATTGATTTTTTTTAGATCATAAGTACGCCATCTATCTTTCACATATCGATATCATCGGTGTATGAGAGCACTTGAAACATAATTATGTCTCTTACTATTTATCGTCTTACAAAATGCAATATTTTTGTTGCTTACAGCCTAAGTTTGCAAAATTTCAAATTTTATTTGAAGCTAAAATTGATTTAATTACAGGTTCGGAAAAATATCGATTTGTTTGGTGGTGATCCAAATCAGGTGACGTTATTTGGTGAAAGTGCGGGTGCAGCATCGGTTTCAATGCACTTATTAAGTCCCAAAAGTGCGCCATATTTTCGGCGTGCAATTGTTCAGAGCGGAAGTGTCACAGCTCCGTGGGCAATAGAAAGCAGGTATTGTACAGTTTTTTTGTAATTTACCTTCTAAAATTTTGTTGTCTCTAGAAATTTTTAAAGTAATAATTAATTGTACGAGAATTACATTTTTTGTTTAATCATCATTTTCAAAAATCTCGAATTTTACAGGGAGGTAGCAATTGCACGTTCAGTTATTTTATACGATGATATGCGATGCGGAAATATGTCAAAAGATCCTCAGAACTGGAATCTTGAAAAGGTTATTTAATTTCATTAAAGAAGCAAATGAGAAAACATTTGATAGATTTAAACTTTCAAGAAATTTTAGATAAATGACAGAACAATTTATGATTGTATTATTTCATTCCAAAATTACACAAAAAGTTTATGTATTATTTTTGATTAATTAATGCAGGTGTTGCGATGCTTAATGGACGCGCCAGCAGAAGCACTTCGTGATTCGGAATGGGCCCCTGTGATGGAATTCGCTGATTTCCCGTGGGTTCCGGTAGTCGATGGTGATTTCTTGATTGAGCAACCAACAACATCACTCAAACGAGGCAATTTCAAACTTTCAGAATTGCTTATTGGTTCAAACTTGGAGGAAGCAATTTATTTCATTGTCTATCAATTGGGTGTAAGTTCAAAGTATTCATATCTGTTAGGATTCTTCTAAAAATTAAAATTATTATCATCAAAAGGAATGATTTGATATGAAAGTAAGAAAATGTTTTCTCTTATGATCAGCAGTTATAAGTGATATCAGAGTTATCTTTATAACTGTTTATAAAGCTCATCAATATTGCTAATATCATTAAATATATCACCGAAGTATTTATTGTTTAAAATATTTTGATTACGTGAAATAACGAAAAGAGATTTGAAGAGAAAAGGTTAACTATTGCAATTTATATGACTCTTAAATATGTGTTTACTTCATTTAGAAGTTTCATTTAGAAATTTGATTCATTATTGTAAAAGTATCGTTTACATTCTAAATGATTTATTATAATTTATCATTTTAATACAATTCTTGATTATTTTGATCAGAACTTATCGCCAAAGTTACAGGATATTTTCCCACCGAGAGATTTCTTCATAAAAAGTGATTTTGTGACAAATCGTGAGGAGTGGTTACGCAGTATATCAAATCTATTACCTCGACAAATGCTAAAAGCTCCATTGGCATTAGCATCGATTATTCATGAATATGAGCCAGCTGATCTACCAATTAAGCCATCTGACTGGGTTAATTCACTGGATAAAATGCTTGGTGATTTACAATTCACATGTAACAGCAATGAAATTGCATTAGCCAATAGTATGCATGGAGGTAAAAGATCAATTCAGTCTCAAAATATGTTCAAATATTGGAGAGCAATTAATTCACTAATCAATCATAGATTTCACAATTTACAATTTTCACTTTTTTTTGAGGTGACACTTATTATTATTATTTCACGCATCGCTCAACTCAACAAACTTGGCCTAAATGGATGGGTGTCCTTCATGGATATGAAATAAATTTCATATTTGGTGAACCATTTAATACGAAGAAATTTACATACACCAAAGAAGAGCAAGAATTAAGTATGAGATTCATGCGATATTGGGCTAATTTTGCCCGTACTGGGTATCTTACTTTTCTTATACACTGCTGCATGTCTTTAATAATCGCTATTTCTTTGAAAGTAACAAAATGAAATGATAAAATAAAGTGCAATTTTTATAAAAGTTAATGGAATAATGTGTCATTAGTTACTTTACTTACTTACTTACTTACTTACTTAGAATGCTTACAAAAGATAATGAATAGTACGTCATTAGTTATATATGTATACAAAAAAAGATTGGACAAAACAAATTTTTAACCTAACTTTTTTAAAAGTTCATTTCATATTTAATAAAGTGATAATTGATTACGTAAAAATTTGGAGAAATAAAATTTAATAAAATTTGTCAAGTAATTTCAATAGATTTTATGAAATTAAGCAAAACTAACCATCGGAATGGATCTACAAGAATCTTAATTTTTTACGTTTATTTATTTCATTCAACATCCTGTAATTTAATCAGAAATCCGAATAAAAATCCGGATGAGACATACACACCAGATGTCTGGCCACGGTATACACAAGCAACAATGGAATATATGAATTTAACGGTGGAATCAGATTATTATGCTGGGGCATCACGTATTGGTACTGGGCCAAGAAGGAAACAATGCTCGTTCTGGAAGAAAATTCTACCAAATTTGATGGCTGCCGTAGGTTAAATTTTTAAATTTTCTTTTTCATTTCATTTTTTTTCATCGATTCCAATTTATTTTCAGTAATAATTCAAGTACTTATTGTACAATAACTATTAGAAAGTGATGATCATTGTGAATTCTGAAATCTTCTAATCGCTTCAAATGATATACAAAAACTAAACCAAGTTTACAGCTGATACAGGAGATCAAGTAATGCGCTGGAAACAGGAAATGAATCGTTGGGAGAATGAATACATTGTTGATTGGCAACTTCACTTCGAGCAGTACAAAAAATATCAAGCATATCGATATGCTGATTCAGAAAATGGTCAATGCTAACGGATTTATAAAAATCTGTTATTTCTATCTGATTTACAAGAAATCGATCATTTCTACTTAATGTACAATGGTTATTTCCATTTTATGTTTTCTGATCATCAAAAATGCTATCAATTTACAGAAGGAAGATGTAGAGAATGGAATAGGATATCATAAATAATCGAAAGTGCGAAAAATTATTGCAGATGACTCCAAAATATTCGAAAAATTAATAACTAATTGGAAATTTTCTTCCTTTCGAACTCTTTTAATTTTGTTGCTGACACATTCCGTACGAGTGCTGCTGTCCAATTTTGTTTTTTGTTATTTTATTGATGCACGTTTCACAAATTCACCATGATTTTTAAAATATTTTATTGTTTAAATCAATTCCATTGAATTGACATAATTAATTTCAATTGAATCAATAATAATTCTATAATGACAAGCGAACAAGTCAATCAGCAGCAGCATAAACAAAGATTCTGTTAAATCTTTTAAAGAAATGAATCATTTACTGCATTTTTTAATTTCTTAAATTTAAAGAAAAAGAAAAAGTTTTAAGGCAAGAAAAAGGTATTTTTATATAAAAAAAATTGAATCTTACAAATAGAATAAGTATGATCCAAAAAAAATATCTAATTGATATTCGGATAAATTCATTTCTTTAGAATTACGGGAATTTTCGACCAATTTGATTTCTATCATAATTTTAACCTTTTTTTGGAACCAATTAAAAATTTTATTACCTTTTTGATATCTCATTTTTTGTGCATAAAATAGTTTATCTATTGAATCGTAATAACAAATAAATGTAAAAACGGTAGACCAGAATTCATGTTTAGTATCACAGATAATTATTTACGTATAAAATAGTCTTTTGATGTCTGTATTTTTGGTTTTTGATTGTTTTTTGTTTAATATCTGTTCATTAACTTCTATTTGTTATGATTTCGACCAATTGATACTCTCTTCCTGAATATGATGGATGATATATTATGCTTCCAGTATGTAATTTTATGAGTTGACAAAAGTATAGGTAAAGGCATATGACACAAGTAATATTATGATAGGGGCTAAATATAAATTTGTTGAACGCGAACTATTTTATTTTGTAATTATAATTTGAGGTGATTATATTTTATAAATATATTTTAATGTAAAACATACACTTCACAGTAATCTTTAGTAGCTATAATGGTACGGTAGAGTATAGTAACTGTGATGGTACGGTAGAGTACAGTATTGAACATTAGCATATAATTTATGGGTTATCTTCTTTTCGAGTTTATAAATATTTGTTTCCACTTTTTTCTTTTTCCAACATTGTCTTATTTAAAAAAAAAATATTTTCATATACCATTGTAGAATTTGATAGTGGACAGCTCGACTTCATTTTTATTTGGACCGTTAATCAATGAATTTTAGCAATAAAATATGTTGTGTAAAGAATGTCGTACTGAAAAAGATCTCTTCCTTTCTTCTCATCATTTGTTTCTCGACAAGTTGTAATGTCAACTCGAAATCCAATAAGTTCAGGCGCAGTTGTCATTAAATAAAAAACCAGAAATAGTGGCGATGATGAATTATGATCGAACATTTGTAAGCCCCTTCTTTATTAAGACTGACTTGCAATTCACAAACTTATTCTTTCTACTTCGCTTAATTCCATCGTTTCTTCTAAGCGAATAGTTTTCAGGCTTATTCGACATCATTCAGTATCATATTTAAAAGTAGAAAAAATTAATTTTTAGTTGAACAAAAATTGTGGAAATTGCTTCCCAGAATGCTTTCTTGGACATTACAAAATTCTTGTATGAAATCCATGATAAAGGCATGAAAATTTGAAATTTAAAAAGTTTTCAGTTGAATGCTTTGAATATGAACAAATGACATATAGCAAAATTTACTGTTAATTAGCTGATTAAATCAATGAGCAAAGAAAAAGTAGCACCGTGTGTGGCATATTTCTTCTCTTTTTTTATTTAAATATAGCAAATAATTAAAATGATATATTTTTCTTTTGTGAAAAAAATTTTCAATAACGAGACACCCAACAGGCACATATCAACAAAAAAGATGGCAGAAATAGAAGAGAAAAGGCAGTTTATATAATAGCATATTTGAAGTATCACAAACCAAACCATGAAAGATAATAAACAAGAACATTTTAATTTTTCAATTTAACTTATATCTCAGATTTATTCCATATCAGATTATTAATAGATTCAAAAATAGCAAAAGTTTAAATTCTGTTGAACAATTTTAAAACTGGTTTCAGCTTTGGGGAAAAGCTATAGAAAACGGTGGAACAGAAAAAAGTATATAACTTAATCTAACTAAATTATTAAATTGAAGGCAGTGCAAAAATACTTCAAAAAAATGAAATTTTTTAAAATAATTTTACAATTAAATGCCATTTAAAAAAGAAAGATTCTAATCGGCAGCACTTATATATTAAGCAGTGTGTTTTGTTGATATTTGTTGTTGTATCCCTTTTCGACTGACCCCATATTTTGTTGACCTTTTACATTTTCGCTTTTTTCTGAATGTTACTGCTTGTATGGATATCGGCTTGAATCTGTAGCTTTTATGCATACTTGACACCGGGAGACCCGTGTTCGTAAACTTCCCGATTTTAATGTTTCACTTTCTGGGATCTGAAATTTGAAATTATTTTTAAACAAATAATTTTGATTTTTTTTCAACTTTTTTCAAAGTGAAAACAAAAAGGAAGAATATTATACCCTAAATTGTTGATCATCTTCAATTGTTGTAAGCCAAAAACTGAATTTGTTAGCAAAATAATGGCAGCTACCGCGAGCACCGTTACATTCAATAAAAGGTGTTGCTCGAAAATCTTCAAGACATGAGCCAGGTGAGCTAAAATAATTCAATCATTTATTAAATCAATAAATTTGTTAAGTAGAGGTTGCAATGATCAGATTGTTATTATTGTTAAACTCCTAAAAATTCTTAAAAAGTACTGATAATTAGTCCTCAGTAACAATTAGAAATGAAAACATGGCTAACAATTTTTAAAGTAATTAATTATACATAGATTAGTAACAATTCAAACTATTTGCTTTTAACTGAAGTTAAAAGTTATTTAAATTCGCAAACAGCTATCACCTGTATACAGCTTTTTTAAACTTTCCTATTAAAAAAAAATGAATTAGATGGTGAAAGAAAAGGATGACCTTAAAGATTGACCACCACCTTCTGCTCCCGCACCGGTATGCATAGCAAATGAATAACCAATCCAAAGTGAGCTCCATCCATTTGGACAGTTTGGTATTTGGATGGTTTGAGAGTGAACTGCAATAACATTCGCTGGTGCTTCACATACAGCACATCTGCAAAAAAAAAAAATAGCAATGTCTGAAATTAGCTCTAGAATATTTCAAGAAAATTTCCGAAAATTTGAATTATTTGATCAAACAAATTATGAAATGAAAATTTCAAGAAAAAAAATTGTACTTTTTATGTGGCTTTAGAAAATGAAAGAATTCTCAAACATATGAATATAAATTTAAATAGTAAGTAAAAAAAAATGCCTTGAAATATAAGGCTCAATGCCCTGCTCATTAACAGGCATCATTGGTATTGGTGCTGTTGTTGATAACCAGTATGATTTGTCATTGCGAGATGCATAATTACAGACGTTGTTAAAGTCACAAAATAAAAATGGCATCGTTGAAAACCTCGTCAAACATGAACCCGCATGACCTGAAATATTTCACTTTTTTTTATCGTTCCAAATATCAAAATAATTGATAAAACTATGAAAAATTAATTAATTAAGCAATTTTAATATTCACCCAATATATAAAACCTAATAATTAATGATCACTTTTTTTTGTTAATTCCATTCATTTTCTTTTAATTTCTGATGATTTCCAATAAAACTATTGAACTTATGTATCAATTGATAGAGTTGTTAATAATATGTTTCCTAAAGGACTTTGAAATTTTTCAGTTCTATAATAAATGATGCAATTTTATTATGTTGTATGAAAGAGTTCCTTCCATTTATGCCTACCATGATTAATCGGAAGGAGTTACCAAGATCTTGATTATGTGATTTTTCATTGCCCTCGATGTACAGTAGAGAATAGCCATCCCACAGTTTCTGCTGTCCCAATGGACATTGAGGTACTTCAGTTGTTTGACTATGTTTGACGAGTAAAAATCCATCCCTATATGCTGGTCCTGGTGAGCCTGGTGGTCCACTTGGTCCTGGAAGTCCTGGTGGTCCTGGTGTACCTTCTACACCTGGAAAACCCGGTAAACCAGCCGCACCTTTTTCACCAGGTAAGCCAGGTTGTCCTGGGAAACCATCTGCTCCTTTTAATCCTGGTGGTCCTGGCGGTCCTGCAATCAATCATCAAATTTCAATATATATCAGTTGTGCAATAATTGGATAACAAGTTTATTTATCAATGGATTTTGAATTGAATTTAATCATGATGTTAACTAACCGCTTGGTCCTGGCAAACCATCCAGACCAGGTAGTCCTTTCTCACCTCGGATGCCTGGTAAACCCATTGGTCCATGGTCACCTTTCTCACCACGCAATGTTAATGGTTCAGCTCCTGGAGGGCCCATTGGTCCTGGTTCGCCAATCTTGCCTGGTGCACCATCTCTACCTGGTGTTCCAGGAATACCACAGTCACCTTTTATACCCGGTAGTCCTGGTAGTCCCGGTTGTCCTGGTAAACCTGCTTCGCCTTTTGGCCCTGGGAATCCAGGAATACCTGGCTCTCCTATAAAAAACCAAATCCTCAAAAAGTTTTAGTACAGATTTGAAAATTTTTAAATCTCAAATACGTAAAAGTTTGACTTTTTTGAAAATAAAACTCAAATATTAAAATTTTTTTAAACAATACAATGTTATTGTATAAATTTGAGTTTTATTTATTTTTTTCACGATCTTTCAGTCATTTTTAAATTCATAAAACACAATTCTGAAAACGAACCTTTCAATCCCGGCAAACCTGGAAGACCTGGTGTACCCGGAAGACCAGTTGGTCCGGTATCACCTTTTGCACCTGGTGCGCCCCGTAATCCAGCGCTGCCAGGTGCTCCAGGAAGTCCATCTTTACCACGCAAACCCGGTAGTCCGGGTAATCCTGGTTCTCCTTTAGCTCCTGGTATTCCAGGTAGTCCAGCATCTCCCTTCACACCTGGCACTCCAGCATATCCTGGTAGTCCTGGTTCACCTTTTGCTCCCGGTAATCCAGGAAGACCATCTTTACCGGGAGAGCCTGGTGCTCCAGCAATACCTTTTGGCCCAGTAATTGAAGCTCCTAAAACAAATTTTGATAATACACAATTAACAATGAAAAACTGAGGCCAAGATTTGAAGGAATGCAAGTTCCAGGAAATGCTTTTAAATTTGGATATTAAAGATGTAATTATCACTATGAATGAGATTATTAATAACAGAAAAAACTTGCCAGGTGAGCCAGGTAAGCCAGGCAAACCAGCTTCACCTTTCTGTCCAGGTATTCCAGGAAATCCATCTTTTCCAGGTCTTCCTTGTATTCCAGCATCACCTTTGACTCCTGGGAAACCCGGTAGCCCATCTTTTCCAGGGAACCCTGGCAATCCCTTTATTCCTGGGTAACCAGGTGGACCTGCATTACCTTTTACACCAGGCGGACCCATAGGGCCTTGTAATCCTGGGAATCCAGGTTCTCCCTTTTGTCCTGGAATACCATCCAGACCACGGTCACCATGAGCTCCAGGTATACCTGGGCTTCCTTTATCACCCCGGATGCCAGGTACACCCATTTTTCCCGGCAAACCGGGCGCTCCGGGAAGTCCAGCTTGACCCGGAAAACCTGCATCACCTTTTTGCCCTGGGAGACCAGGTAATCCATCTTGCCCAGGAACTCCTGGTACTCCAGGAAGACCCTAAAAATAATGATATTCATCAAAAGAAGTTATGATTATTGTGAAAGTTATTTTCTTTTTATAAAATTACGAAGTTACGATAAACACACTATAATTTATATTAAATGCTATGAAATTAAAAGATTTTTTTAAAACTTTTTTTTGCAAATTGATATCTTACTGCGTCGCCCTTAAGTCCTGGAAATCCTGGCGCACCATCAAGTCCTTTTTGTCCAGGTGCTCCTTGTCTTCCTTGTTTGCCAGGTAGACCTGGAATACCTTTTTCTCCCGGTAGGCCGGGTGCACCGAAACCTGGTTTTCCGGCATCACCTTTTGCACCTGGCAATCCTGGTAATCCAGGTGGTCCTGTAAAATAGAATTATTTTCTCTTATGTTTTTAGAAATTCTTTCTGGGATTATCAATTATTTTTGTAACTCCTCAAATTTTGAAGATTTAATTTAACAATAATATTGTATAACTCTGAAATGCCTGTTTTGGATTACGTAGTAAGTTCATAAAATTAATTCTACTAATTGCAAACCTTGAGGTCCTCGTAAACCTGGTGCGCCAGGCAAACCTGCCTCACCCTTTGCTCCATCTCTTGCAGCGGGTCCAGGTTCGCCCTTTTCACCTGGAAGTCCATTAAAACCACGTTCTCCTTTTGCGCCGGGAATACCAGGGGCACCATCTTTACCAGGCAAACCAGGATAGCCTGATGCGCCTTTCATTCCTGGCAGACCAGGCAAACCGGCCAATCCTCGTTCACCTTTAGCTCCAGAAGGTCCTGGTAGACCTGGTAACCCTGCCTCGCCTGAAACACTTTCATTTTTTGGTAAATGTAGAAGTTTAGGCAACAAATTTTTGGACAAGCACCATTTCATTATGCATTTTAAAACAAAGAGAATACAATTCATACCCTTGGCACCTGGTATTCCTGGAAGCCCTGCTTGTCCTTTCTGTCCTGGAAACCCTGGTTGTCCGGTTGCTCCCGGAAGACCAGGAGCTCCAGGAAGTCCCGCTTCACCTTTCAATCCAGCAACACCTGGCAAACCTGGTAATCCATCTTCACCTTTTTGTCCTGGAAAACCTGGCGCTCCTGTTATACCAGGCGGACCAGGTGGACCTTCTGCCCCTGAAACGGAATATTTATAATCCTTGTATTTATACAAAATCTCCTTATTTTTATACCATTAACGATATTTAGAAGTTTTATAAAAATTGTGGAGAATCCGGGTATTTCACACGAAATTTACCTGGAAGTCCCGAAAATCCCGTATCGCCTTTTTGACCGGGCAGACCCACAATTCCAGGTGGACCTGGAAGACCAGCATCTCCTTTCAAGCCTGGTATACCTGGCAAACCGCGTGGTCCTTCAGGACCTGGCAGTCCTGATGCTCCTGGTAAACCGTCGTTTCCTTTTAGTCCGGGAAATCCGGGAGGACCTGGTGGCCCCGTCATTGACAGTCCTGGTTCTCCTTTAACTCCCGGCAATCCTGGAGATCCTGGATACCCCGCTTCACCCTTTTGACCTTGCAAACCAGGCAAGCCGGTTTTTCCTGAAGTTTAAAATTCAGTGAAACGAAATTTAATTAATTAAAACTCTTGATATTTTCAATGCTTCCAAATTCGAAATTTTAATATTTCTAAAGTCAGGTTTGAAAATTGGAAGATTTACAGCAAAATCGCTCACCAGCATTTCCTTTTGGACCAGGCAATCCAGGTAGACCGACGATACCTGGTGGCCCTGGTAAACCTTCATTGCCTTTTGGTCCTGGCAAACCTGGAAGCCCTGGAACGCCTTCTTTTCCCGGCGCACCAGGATAACCTGCATCGCCTTTCGGGCCTGGTAACCCCGGTAGTCCGTCTTTTCCTGGTGGTCCTGGTTTAAGTTGGCTTTCAGCTACAGGTGGTCCCATTGGTCCAACAGGTCCCTGAGCTCCTGGTAGGCCAGGAATACCTGCTTCACCTTTCTGACCTGGAAGACCTGGCAATCCTGGCGCACCGTAACCTGGAGCTCCTTTCATTCCAGGGAGACCTGGAAGTCCATCTTTACCAGGTTTTCCTGTCAATCCTGGGAAACCCGACTCGCCCTGAAATAATGTGACATTTCAAGATTACCTCATCATCTTTCCATTTGCAAAAATAAATTAGGGAATTTAATAAGCTCAAATTTTAAAGTTTTGAATTTTAAAATTCTGAAGACGTAATATTGTGCAGACCTTTGGTCCTGGTATTCCAGGTAATCCTGGCAAACCAGGTGAGCCAGATTTTCCTGGTAATCCAATTTGTCCAGGCAAACCTGGTAAGCCAGCTTCACCTTTATGACCTGGATATCCTGGTGGTCCTGGTCGAAGTACCATATGTGTCGGTTCACCTTTCTGTCCTGGCAGACCAGGAATGCCGTCTTTTCCAGGTGGTCCTGGTGAACCAGGCCTTCCTGGTGCACCAGGCATACCGTCATCTCCAGGAGGTCCTTGTGCACCTGGCACTCCTGGTAATCCCCTTTCGCCTTGTGGTCCTGGCAAGCCTGGATAACCATCAGAACCTAAAAAGACATGAGGTAAGAATAGTAGGGATTGTCTTCCACACTTTTCGCTCAATACTGTATCAGCTCTTGGATAATCGTGCCTTGTATCAACTTTTTTCAAGTAATTTCTGAAGAGAACTTGCATCAGAATATTTAATCCAGAAAGCTTAGCAAAAATAATGAAAAGTTACCTTTTTCTCCTTTCATTCCAGGAATGCAAGCAGAACACGATCCACCCCGATCACCCTTTTGTCCAGGTAAACCAGGTAAACCTGGTGCACCGTCTCGTCCATCGTAGCCTTTGGGTCCTTGTGGTCCTCGTAATCCTGGCGGACCAGGAAGTCCATTTAGTGAATCACCAGGAGGACCTGAATTACAAATTTTTATGAGACTAAATTTCAGCATTTTGCTTAAATTATCTAAAAAATAACTTACCTCGAACACCTGGTAATCCCATTTCTCCTTTCCTTCCGGGCAGACCATCCAAACCAGGTCTACCATCTTTACCTGGTAAACCGGGAATGCTTTTTCCATCAGCACCACGTGGTCCTGGCTCTCCTTTAGGCCCTCGTGGTCCGGGCAGTCCGGGTGATCCAGGTACACCAGGTGCACCTGGGATACCATCGTCACCTATAATATGGAAAGTCAAGAATTTCAGTACAGCATATTATTAAGAAATATATTGGCAACATATTTAATAATATTCTTAGTTTTATTTAATGATATTACCTACCTTTTACTCCTTTCGGTCCTGGGAATCCTTCTAAACCAGGCAAACCTGGAAGTCCGGGTCCACCTGGTGGTCCTTGAGGACCCGGTGGTCCAGGTGGTCCAGGATAACCATCAACTCCTGGTGGGCCAGGTTGTCCTTCTCGTCCGGGTAGTCCGGGTGGTCCTGGTGGTCCGTCCGTGAAATCACCGCCCTGCAATCATTTCAGTTAACATTTCTTCTCATTTTGGTGTATTGCAAATGCTCTTCATTTCAAAAAATTTATCAAAAGAGTAATTTAATTCATACTAAAAGTATGCACTTTTGTCACATCTCAGTTTTACCATATGAAACGTCATTGGTTTTTTCGAAGAGAAACACGGAAGTTGCATGTCGACTTAAATACCTACTCCTGGTGGTCCTGGTGGACCTCGAGCTCCTTTTAATCCATCTCGACCTGGAAATCCTGGCTCACCCTTCTGACCAGGTAAACCAGGTACACCCGGTAAACCATCTAAACCACGATCGCCTTTGAAACCTGGTGGACCCGGCAAACCAGATCGTCCTTCTTTTCCCTACAAATACTGTATGTACATTTTAATCATTTTTATAAATCTGCTGATGTCAAAAAAATGACTTAAAGTCCTATATAATTTTAATAATTTTTTAACCTCTTAATAACCTTCTGATTTCCTAATCTAAAAATTGAAGTCTTTTAAACAATAAAAAAATAAAAGTATATCCAATGAATTATATAACTTCAAACTGTCAACGGATAATCATAGGGGTATGAATTATTCATAAACTTACTCGTGGTCCCGCGGGTCCAGACAATCCCTTTTCACCTTTCATTCCGGGGAAACCCGGTTGTCCTGGCGCACCAGAATTTCCCGGATACCCACGTGCTCCGGGTTCTCCAGGCTCACCCTAAAACATATGTGCATTACTCTGACTCACATAAGATACCATATTTGAACTATATTAAGCTTTAATTGAAAGACTCTATTTGAAAGAAAGCTGTTAGACGGGCATAAAGTAGGTAAACAGGAATATATCAAGAAAGTTACCAGGTAAATAAGAGCATATGGAAGGAAGTTACTAAGCAAATAAAGTTGCATCGAAGAAAGTTACATGCACAACCATCTCTACTCATTTGAAAACTTTTTTGATGCCACCATTTAAAATGTTTTTTCTAACATTATCTGTGTTTCTTATTCAATGAGACTGATATAGCTTTTAAATCATAGGATAAAAGGATAAAACAATAGCTTCTTCATTGATTTTTTGGTAGAAAAATTTTTTAAAAAGTAAATTTTTAGCTATGGTACCAGGCTAGCAAAAATTTCTCATTAGATCCAAATTTAAAGTTTTCAAATTTTCTACAAAACGATAAATAAAA